GCTTATTTATTTCTGAGGACATAAGTAAAAACTCTAGCTTTTGAAAAAGGCACTTTCAGCAAGATATTCTGTATCTTGGCTCCCTAACGTCTAAACTATGGATAGTACTGTCCCTTTATTAGGTGCTCTCTTCAGGTGATATATGTGAAGCACTTGGGACAGAGTATGTAATAAGTGCTCAATAAATGTTGTTATGGCTATGGTTATTTATCGTGATGATTGAGATTTTTATTCAGGCTACAAAAGCAATAAATTCATATAACATAATGTATCATAGAAAATTTGAAAGTAATCTTTGGAACTCACCACTGATGACATTGAACATATTTCCTACTGGATAACTAGGTATTTATCAGTAAGTAGATCTGTCACTACACATGACATACTGGGATTTTTTTGTTTATGGGACTGTCTCTTTTGATTACGTCTGGAAGAATAGAGGCTGTGTCCTTATGTAACACCAGCACAGCGCCCGATTCAGAGCCAGCCTCAGTAAATTTATGAATTGAACTGTTAGAAGTTTGAAGATTTTTCAGCTTCATTTTTTTACCGTCTTTTGTTTTATTATTTTAAAGAATTATTTTTATTTAACTTTATTTATTTGAGGGACAGAGTGAGAGAGCAAGAGAGAGGGTGAAAGGGAGAGAACAAGCCACCAGGTCCAGGACTTGAACTGTGGTCAGCCATGTGGGAGTCCAGTGCCCTTAATCAGCACACCACCACTGTCTTTTCCTTTTAAAAAATATAATTACAAAATGATTTAAGTGTACATATGAAGATGGTAGATCTCTCAGTCTGACCTTAGGAAGACTTAAGGTACTCTACTCTCAGACAAAGGGATTGACAGCAGTTAAATGTGCAAAGAACTGAATAAGAGAACGCTAGGAAGGCTGTGTTCTGTAGATCAAGGGGACATGTTTTGACCACTGTCTTGAAGCTTATAGTTCTCAGAAGTATGCCAGAAAAGAAAAAAGTTTACCTGTTAACACTGCTCTTTGGTTTCTGGGTAAGACCCTCACTGTCCGTCTGTAGTGGTGAGTGGGATTTTTCCATTTCTAAAAAAGGTGATATCTGGATGCCGTGATTGCCTAGGTATACTGATTTTTCTTTAAATCCTTTAATTAGCAAGCATTAATAAACTCTCTGCTATGCAGAGGCGACCTTGGAGGTACGTACATGGCAGGATATACAGTGTTGAGAACTGACTACCCAGTGCAGATGGGATTCTTATTAATAACCTGTGAATACTGCTTTGGGATGTTATGCACCTTGAAAGCCATCCCTGTGCACATGAGAACAACATTCAAGCAAACTACCAAAACTTTATGTTAACTTTTAAAGTATTTTTGACTTATATGAAAATAGAATGGCTTATTACTGGTTGCAGTAAAAATCTGTGAAATTGAACTGATGACTGTAATTCTTGAATTATCTGCCAGTATTACTGAGATTTAAAACTTCAATTTTGAAAGCATGTACAAACACCTAAAGTGAAGTAAGTGTAGAAAGGAATTCATAGAAAATTCGTCCCCCCTCCTTTCACTTTTTTAAAATCCTGCTTTAAATGGTTTATTATGTGCAGTTCTTTTAATGAGTGGTTTAAGTATAATTCGAAGTTCAGGTCAGCTTGTCTCAGTTGAAACAGGCTGTTTCTAAGAGCTTCGCCTTGGGCTTTATAAAGGTCTCTTTGTTCGTTCCGTACAATTATTCAGGTTCCAGGGGCGTTCACTGGATATGAGAGCTAGTCTGTATTACTCTTCAGATGAAACACCTTTTACACAGATAGTACATAGTACAGGAATGTGAAATGTGACTAGAGTGTCCTGTGGCTGAATCTGTGGGCCATGTACACACTGCTTTTCAAGCCCTCACGTCTAGATAAGTCAAAAATTAAAGAGGGAAGATGCGGTTTCAAGTACATTCTAAGACAGTTTTAGTAGTCCCTTTAGGTAACTGTTGCTGTGCCATTGCAAGCTGTTGCATTTCTGTTCCCTCTTGACCAGTATCTCAGTATTTTACTTTATAAAAACTAATCATAGTTTAGGGAATTCCAGAGAGTTTTATAAAATAGTTTTCTAGGATTTATGTAAATTAGAGATACTGTACTCTTTGCTCCAGTGATAATTTATTTCATGTTTTTCTCTTGTGACAGTTACTAAATTTCTGTGCTTTGAAAGGAAAAAATACACTCAGACCACATATTTTCCATAGCATCATATCATGCCTGAATTGAAAGAATTGGCAGGTTTCTCTTATGTTGGTGCTTTGTTACAGTAAAATGTAAATTTTGAGGGTTCTCTCAATAACTGCAGAAGATTACCAGGAATTGCTAATTTAAATGACTCATCTGATAGATAGCTAGTCAGCCAAGGAATGAATAAGTTTCTCTTTTTGTTAAATCTACCTTTGGATATATATATATATATATAAATTCACAAAATTAATGATCATCTTCATAGAAAAAAACATTAGAATATAAATTTTTTTTTTTGAGAGGTTTTCGCTATAGGGCGCGTGTGCTCGCCAGACAGAGAGAGAGAGACAGAGAGACAGAAAGCGAGAAATCACCCCCCAGAGGGGATGGTCACGCCGCAATCCCTTCTCCTCCATTCTCCTCTCGGGATCTTGGGCACGCATGCACACGTGCCCGGCGTGAGTTTTAAGCCACCGGGTCCGGGACGCGAACCGCGGTCGACTACGTGGGAATCCAGTGACATAGCCATTACGCTAACTGCTGGTTCCCTAGAATATAAAATTTTAAGTTGATTCTTTTTCTTTTAATTTGCCAGAGTACATGTGCACTAGACAGGGAAAAGAAAGTGGGAAAGCTTCCCTCCCTCCCCCTCCCATGGGGAATGATCACACTACAGTCCCTTTTCAATTTCTTTCTCCTTTTGGAATTTTTTCTTTTTCTTTTCTTTTCCTTCTTTCTTTCTTTTTTTTTTTTAACAGGTTTTTGCTATAGGGCACGTATGCTTGCTAGAGAGACAGAGGGCAAGAAATCACCCCCCAGGGAGGATGGCCACACTGCAATCCCTTCTTCTTCTCTTCTTCTCAGGATCTTGGGCACGCATGCACACGTGCCCTGCGTGAGTTTAAGCCGCCAAGTCTGGAACTCGAACTATGGTTGACTACGTGGGAGTCCAGCAATATAGCCATTATGCCAACTGCTGGCCCCTCCTGGGATTTTGAGAATGCATGCGCATGTGTTTGGGACTCAGAATTGCAGAGTCAGTCATATGAGATGCACCCCCTTAACCACCAGGCCGTGGACTACCTCTCTAAGTTGATTCTTAAACTCTGCATAATGCTTATTACTCTGTTTACTATAATATTTCACTAAAGATATTGATTCGATTGTAAAAACGGGATTGAGAGTATTATTTGAATAAGGAAAACAAAAGGTTGGTATAAGTTCTGTGCGAGTGTATATTAGTAATAAGGGGCCACTCTAAGGGACCAACCTTGATTATAGAGTAAAACATGCTATTTCTGGGACCAGCAGATGGCATATGTAATGGTTACACCTCTGAACTCCCATGTAGTTGACTATGGCTCAAGTCTCGAACCCAGTGGTTTAAACTCATGCTAGGTGCATGTGTGTACGTGCCCAAAATCCTGAGAGGAGAATGGAGGAGAAGGGATGGTGGCATGGCCATCTCCCCTGGCGGTGATTTCTGTGTCTCTGTCTCTCTCATTCTCTTAGGCAGCACACGCCTTACAGCAAAAATATCTCTCAAAAAAACGAAAATAGAAACATGATACTAGGATGCAGTTCATTTTTTATTTTAATAGTGAAGTTAATCTAGCATCCAGAAGCCTTTCATAGTCTGCCCTCTACTTTTTCTGTATGTGTTTTTCACTCTGACATAAATCCTAGGCTTTAGGTATTTTGGTCTTCTCCGTACTCCATGATGCTCCGTCCCTCCACATCCCAGTGCTCTCCGTTTGAGGCCTTTCTCTTCACCTCTGAAGACCTGCCCTTTTTACTCTTGCACAATGCCCCTTGAAGCCCTTTATGTGCAATGAAACATTTCCTCTTTAAGCCAGGTGTGATCTCCTGAGCTTTTAGGACGTTTATCTGCTGCTTTCTTGAGTATCTAACATACTACCAAATAGTCAAGGGTATGTCTTTTAGGTTTCAAAAATTCTCCGAAACTTTGAAGACTACCTTTTCAGAGTGGTTATTTAGTAATTGTTGAATGAATGTAAAAATACTAGCATTAGTTCTGAACAGCGGAATAAATTTCTCCATTCTAAAACAGGTTTAATTACATGTGAATATATCATCCTTTAGAACAGGGTTTCTCAATGGCAGCATTGTTACTTCATGCCGGATAATCTTTTTTAGGGGGAGGGGGATTGCCTTGTATGCTGCTGGATGTTTATTGGCATGTCACTAGATATCAATACCACTCTTCCCTCTCACCCCATTCATAATGATCAGGAAGTGTCCCCTGGGTGACAGAATCATCCTGGGTTGAGAAACTTCTTTAGAAGAAAAAAACGTAGATTTCAAACTTTTATGACTTGTAAATAATATAGTGTAATTTTTGGGGGGGGTGTGAGAGGTTTTTGCTATAGGGTGTGTGTGCTCGCCAGACAGAGAGCGAGAAAGCGAGAAATCATCCCCCGGGGGAATGGCCACGCCACAATCCCTTTTCCTCCATTCTCTCAGGATCTTGGGCATGCACGGACACACACCTGGCGTGTTTTAAGCCTCCAGGTCCAGGATGCGAACCACGTTCGATTACATGGGAGTCCAGCAACATAGCCATTATGCTAACTTCTGATCCTGTATTTTTTTTTTTAAGGGTAAATTTTTAAGTGTAGAAATCAGTAAGTGTCTTATAATTCTTCAGATTTAACCTTGTATAATTTAAGGGACCTGTCAAAGACATTTAATTCTTATAAAACTCTTGAGGACTTAAGCAAATTGCATTTTTTACCTTTTTGTGTATTTTACTTTGACTAATGATTTTATTTGGTGTTTCTTCCAGATTGAAGTTAAAATGAAAAAAACAGAGGCTGTGAGATGGGAAAAACTAGAAGGGCAAGGAGATGTGCCTAAGCCTAAACAGTTCATCGCAGGTTTGTTTTCTGGCCTTGATGGGCTTTAAATTCATACTGTGTTGTATAGTTGAAATTAAATAGTAATGAACATTCTACTTTCATTATTTATGTTCCCAAGATAAGATACATTGAGTATAATAAGGTTGCTCTGTAATGAATACAAAGTAGCCTTACTTATGAAGGTTCTAACTTCTTAAACTCTTAGGAATACAAATGAATGGCAGCAGAGCCCCAGAGGGAGTTGGGATTTATTGTTTACCATGTCAGTTTATGACTTCAGTGGGAGGTTGTTTGTTTTTGTGTATTGCCCTTTCTTAATGCTTCATTTTGAATTGTAAGTTAATTAGTTTACCCTGCTGAAACATTTCTTCCTCATTCCTCCCCTTTTCCTTTATTTATTCCTTTTTATTCCTTCTGTCTTTATTGTCACCTCCAATTTCTTGAAATTTCAGGACTTCATAAAGTATAGCTAGTCCATTTCTCTATATCGGTCATTTAAGAAATTGGCACAAATAGGTAATAAATGCCTAGGAAAGCCTAGGAGAAAATAGAAGGCTAGAGTTGGTTACATAACTTTTAAGGGATGGACAACTTAGTGTTGAGGTCAGTTCTAAGCTTATGCAATAAGCAGATAAATGTTTTTCTAATGGAATAATTAGTCTGCAGGATGCTTTAAGAACTATAGCCTAAGATTGTATTTTACAGTAATAGCTTCATTAATGGAGAGACATTTTTGTTTATTAGAGTTAATGTCCTGATTTGATGACTGAAACAAGCTGATAATATTGTTTCTCAGCTACTTTCAGATTTTGACTACCGCCTTTTACAACAAAACATTTTCTTGTTGACGCCTTTTCTAAAACACCTGGTTATTCAACAGATTGTGTATGCATTTAGAAATAATTTTAGGTTCAGAAGTTGCAAAAATAAGTTACTGTGTATGCTTCACCCAGCTTCCACAAATGATAAATGAGATTTATAGTATAATTAGCAAAACCAGGAAATCGACACCAACAGGTAATTTTTAAGGAAGGAAAGATTTCTTGTTGATATTTGAGGTATTTAATTAAGCTTTTGCTTCAGTTTATTTGAAAGACATTTTATAAAGATGTTATGTGCTTCTCTTGGGAATGACTCAAATTTGGGGTTAAGGTATTTTTAAATAATTATTCAATTTTATTACTTCTTTCTTTTTTTTTTTTTTTGTAGAGAGGTTTTTTCCTATAGGGCGCGTGCGCTTGCCAGAAAGACAGAGAGAGATAGAGAGACAGAAAGCGGGAAAGCACTCCCCAGGGGGGATGGCCACACTGCAGTCCCTTCTCCTCCATTCTCCTCTTGGGATCTTGGGCACACACGCAGACACGCCCAGCGTGAGTTTAATCCACCTGGTCTGGGACTTGAACCGCAGTTGACTACATGGGAGTCCAGCGACATAGCCATTATACTAACTGCTGGTCCCATATTATTATTATTTTTAATTTGATCAGAGAGAGAAAGAAGGAAAGTGAGGTGTAGCAAGCTGCCAGGTTCAGGACTCAAACCGTGCTCAGCCATGTGAGAGTCCAGCGCTTAACCCACCACACTACCTGTTGGCCTGAGGGGTTTAGTTTTATATGTAGCTCAAAGCTTTTTGTTAAAGTCAATTTAAATGTAGTATCTTGTTTAATTCTAACAGCCCTGTATAATAGGAAGCCCCGTATTAGTCCTCATATTTTACAGGTTCAGATTGCCCAGCTGTATTTTTTGTTTGTTTGTTTGTTTGGGGTTTTTTTTGTTTGTTTGTTTGTTTGTTTGTTTTTTTGCTATAGGGCATGTGCACTCTCCAGACAGAGAGGGACAGACAGAAAGTGAGAAATCACCCCCTGGGGGGGTGGCCACGCCACAATCCATTCTCCTCTTGGGATCTTGGGCACGCGCGCACATGTGCCCAGCATGAGTTTTAAGCCACTGGGTCTGGGACTCCAACTGCGGTCCACTACATGGGAGTCCAGTGACATAGCCATTCGCTAACTGCTGGTCCCTCCCAGCCGTATTAATTGCTTAGGTCTAGAATCCAGATCTTTAGATTCTGATCTGGTTTTTCTGTTAACCTCATGTTTGATACTGCTTATGCTACACTTTCTAACAATGGAAATAGTCTCTGTAGACATGAATGTCTTTGTGGTTATTTGGTATTTATAGTGAATGAGCAAAGAAATTATATTACTCATCTTTGAGTGCTTATCATCTCCAGGTGCTAAAGTTTTTCTGGGATTAAATGTCAAAGTTTTTTTTTTAATTATAGTTACCAAGTTTTTCCTAAACTCAACACATTAGATATTCAAGATGCTGTTCGTCTTGTCCTGTTATATTTTTGTAAGAAATTAATATGCTTGTCAAATTCCTGTGTACTGCAACCTGGAGACTGTAGATAAGGGCAAGTCACTTAACCTATCTGGGCCAGCTTTCTTATCTGTAAAATGGAGATTAAGACCTCTGTTCCCATCCTTCCTGGGAGTCAGCATTAGGATTAATTAAATCCATGGTTCCCAGGCTTTTAACTTGGGAATCTAACCATGGTGTATATTTTTTGCTTACTCTGGCTACTAATGTACAAAGGTAGAGGAGAGTTCAAGTAGAGTGAAGGTGGATAGGATTTTCAGAACAGTATGCTTGTTGTGAATAAAATGGCAGGGTGGTGTTGTGTTTTTTGTTTGTTTTGTTTTGAGGCGAGGGTGAGGGAGTTGGGGACTGAGTGAAACAAATGAACAGAAAGGATTGCAAAATAGAGAAAAATATTTTGAGGAAAGGGATATAAAAGGCAGTACTGGAGGAGGAACATTTAGATTAGTATTAATACAGCCTAATATACTGATAAGGAAGTTTTAATCAGTTTTGTTTTTTATAACTGTACTATCCAATACATTTGCTGCCAGCCACATGTACTTATTGATCACTTGAAATATGATTAATCTGTGGGGACCAGCAGATGGTGTGGTGGTTAAAGTGCTGGACACTCCCACATAGCCAACCATGGTACGAGTCCCAGACCCAGAGGCTTAAAAATCATGCTAGGCATATGTGCATGTGTCCCCAAAATCCTGAGAGGACAATGGAGGAGGAGGGATTGCTGTGTGGCCATCCCACTGGGAGGGGGAGGCAGTGATTTCTTCTTTTCTGTGTCTCTGGTGAGAACACATGTCCTATAGCAAAAATCTCTTTCAAAAAAAAAAAAAATTATTTTGGTCTGGCTTTGTGGCTCAGTGGTAGTGTGTTACTCCAGAGAAGCTGGGTCTTTCTGATCCCATGTGGCAGCCATGGTTCAAATCCCTGGCCCAGTCAGTCTGATACACACCTGGCAGGTGCATGAGTGCCCAAGATCCAATGTACTGGAGGACTAGAAGAGAAAGATTATGGTGTGACCAGACCCTATAGAGATACTCTTCTTTCTCTCTCTCTAATGGGCACACATATGCTCTATCATAAATAAATTTAAAAAAGATAGCTTCGTATTTTTCTATATCATGTGGAATTGGTATTACTTTTCTTGTATTATGTTAAGTAAATTATTAAAATGTATTTTGACCCTGGGCCAGTCCCATAGCACAGTAAATTAAACCTTGTGTATAGGGAGTCAGATCCCAAATGATCAGCCGTGATTTGAATTTTGGCTCTGGTGGCTTGAAAACACACTGGGGTGTGTGTTTGCATGCCTAAAGTGCAGACAGGATGGTGATATGGAGGTAAAGGTATCATGGCGTGACAATGCCCATATCTCTCTCTTTCTCTCTCTCTGGTAAGCACCTACATTCTGGCAACAAAAGCTTTAGGGAGCAGCAAATGGCATAATGGTTACATAGCTGAACTTCCACGTAGTTGACCACAGTTTGAGCCCTGGACCCAGCGACTTAAAGCTCATTACCAGGTGTGTGTGTGTGCCCAAGATCCCGAGAGAAGAATGGAGAGAAGGGACTATTACGTGGCCATCCCCACTGTGTGTGTGTGTGTGTGGGGGGGGCGGGGGTTGTACAGTTTCTGGCTTTCTGTCTCTACAGCAAGTGTACACCCTCCGTAGCAAAAATGAATAATAGTAATACTTTAAATACAATGTATTACACATATAACATAGCTACTAGAAAATTTTAAATCATGTCTGTGGCTCACATCTGTAGTCATCATATTTTCATTAGACAGTGAATAGAGATGATCTTAGAGCTACTATGTAGGTTAGTTATTTTTATTTATTTAGGTTTTTGCCATAGGGTACATGTGTTCCCTGGAGAGATAGAAAGTGCGAAATCACCACCTGGGGGGGATGGCCAGGTTATAGTCTTCTCCTTTCTCCTCTCGGGATTTTGGGCATGCTTGCACAAGTGCCCGGTATGATTTTTCAAGCCTCTGGGTCCAGGACTTGAGCCACAGTCAGCCATGTGGGAATCCAGTGCCTTAACCACTGTGTTACCTGCTGACCCTGGTTAGTTATTTTTTTAATAATTTACGTGCCAGGATCTTGATTCCCTTAGTCTTTGGGACAGCCTTGACAGTGCTGTGATTCCTGGGCCCTTAGCCTCTCTGGTACAAGCAGCCTCTACATGTACTATTATTTTCTATGAGTGTGATGTAAGCATGGCACTCTAATTCATCAAATGTAGTTTTTTCAACATTGAAGAGTTACCATTGTCTCCTATTGGAGTAATCTTACTATATTTTAAACATAGGTAGAAGATGGACTCTTAAATTACTGTTAAGTGGTGTGGATCGTATTTTCAATTTATTTTCACTCTTCAAAGATAAGCACAAGGTCTTTGGAGTGTTCATGAAAAATGCATACTATGAAAAAGCTGCATGGATTTAAAAATATTTTGCATCAAGATAACCTTTCATCTTAATTCCATTCTTTTCCATAAACTTCTGAAGTTCTTTATACCTTAGGCCCAGACTTGGTGGCACACAGTTTGCACCACTGCTCAGAAAGTTGGAAGCTGATTGGGATGACGTGTCAAGGCTCTACAGAAATACCTATCTCTGTCTCTCTCATATAGGAGCCACATCACATTTAAATTTCTTTTTAATAGGTGTTTTCTTAGTGTGTGTGTGTGTGTGTGTGTGTGTGTGTGTTTTCCTTTTGCCAGAGAAGTATTGTGTGCTCCCAGAGAGTGAGAGAGGGAGAACCGCCAGTAGGGCACAGTCATACTGTAATCCTTTTTTCTCCATTTCTTTTCCCATCAAGATCTAACTATAGTCAGCCATGTGGGATCCAGCTCCCAATACATGCTTAATTGCTGTGCTACTTTTTAAATTTAATTTTTTTTTTTCAAATTTTGCTAGAGGGTGCAAAATTCTTTGTTGGAGAGAGACACAAAGGGTAGGGAAGTGAGAGAGTACAGTCTCTTCTCCATTCTTTCTCCTTTTGAAATTTCGGGCACACACACACACACACACACACACATGCACCTGGCATCCATTTTTTTTTTTTTTAAGAATTATTTTATTTAACTTTATTTTGTTTACTTTTGACTAGAGAAAAAAAGCAAGCCACTAGGTCCAGGACGTGAACTGCAGTCTTCCCTGTGGGAGTCCAGCACCCTTAACCACCACACCACCTGCCACTCTAGTGTGTTTTTCAAGTTGCCAGGTCTGCGACTTGAACTGCAGAATTGGCCATGTGAGATCTAGTTGCCTTAATCACCATGCCAATGGCTAGCCCCACATTTTTAACATTTTAAAAAATCTCATTTACAAGAGAAATGTCTTAATGAAGCTGCTTTTGAAAAATACTTGAGGGCCAGCCTGTGGCATGGTGGTTAAAGTGACTGGATCCCCTTTGGCTTACCTCACAGCTCAAATTCTAGACCCAGTGACTTGAGAAAGAAGCACAGCATATATATATATATATATATATGTGTGTGTGTGTGTGTGTGTGTGTGTCCAAAATCCCAAAAAGAGGGAGAAATGGAAGAGAAGGAATTAAGGGATGGCTATCCCCTTTGGGGGTTGTTTTCCCTCTTCTTTTTCTGAATATCTGGTGAGTGCATGTGTCCTGAAAAATTTTTTCAAAAATAATTTTTAGAATTGTTTGTGTGTCCTTGCAAGTTTCCTGTAAAAGTTCCTTTATATTTCTTACCTAGTTTCCCCTGTTATTAACATGAAGAATCTGTTTTTAATCAAGTTTTGTATAATGTACAAAAGTGTATGGGACCAGTAGTTGGCATAATGGCTATGTCGCCAGACTTCTATGTAGTTGATCGTGGTTCGAGTCCCTGACCTGGTGGCTTAAACTCACACTGGGTGCATGTGCATGTGTGCCAAAGATCCCGAGAGGAGAGAGTGGAGGAGAAGGGATTGCGGCGTGGTCATCTTGGGGGGGGGGGGGTCAGGGGGGGGATTTCTCGCTTTCTGTCTCTCTGTCTCTCTCTGTTTTGCTGGCAGACGCACTTGTTCTATAGCAAAAAGCTCTCAAAAAAAAAGTGTACACCTTATTTCAATTAAGAGAAATTCCCAAATGTTACATTACGCCAACTGATTTAGTTTCAGAAGTGTAAATCTAGTTACTGATGTATATATCAGCTACTGCAAACATGAAATTCAGTGACCTAAACTATTTGCTAAGATGTTCTGTACATCCTGATCACAAAGTTCTTATATTGACATAATCAGAATGTGTTGATTAATCACTTCTGCCTGTTTTATTTCATAGATGTAAAGAACCTATATCCATCATCATCTCACTATACAAGAAATTGGGATAAATTGGTTGGCGAGATCAAAGAAGAAGAAAAGAATGAGAAGTTGGAGGGAGATGCAGCTTTAAACAAATTATTTCAGCAGATCTATTCAGATGGTTCTGACGAAGTGAAACGTGCCATGAACAAATCATTTGTAAGAGCATAAACTTTTTTTCCAAATATAATAAAACTATGTTTTAGACATCTTAGAAAAAATTAATTTGAGCCCAAGTCATGTAAGCTGGGAGACCTTTTGTATAGGCTTTATCTGAACATTTCTTCTTGTTCTAAACATAGAGTAATTGTTGAAGTTGAAAAGTTGTGAAAGAGATGAGGGACAAGTGGTTTATTCCGAATATTTAGAGTTTGGAAAGCTAAGAACTACCCGTGAGAGTGATAAGAGATGGTGTTATCATAGTTTGATTTATCCCAATAACTAAACAACTTCCATTGTTTACCACCTAGAATCATATGTAGTCTCAGTATTAGAGGCAAAGAAAATAGAAGGGAAACTTCCAGAGGCTCACAGTCATTATTCATTGACTTAATTTCTCCATTGATTAAGAAAATAAACACCAGCTGAGTTAGGTCTCAAGTTCTTGAGATTTCAGAGAAAATTTATCACTGTAGAGTTAAAACTGTGTAGATTACTTTGCTTAATGGAATCATTTGACCTTTTACCAGTAGCTATGGAAATGTTACTCTTAAAGCATTCATATTTACAATAGAAAGTTAATATTAAGAATTTAATAAATGTGTTTGAGGCTCAAGTGTTCCACATTCATGGAATACGTGGTATCTAGTCATGATTATATATTTCATTATTGACATTTTTTTTTTTTTGCTAGAGGGCTCATGTACTTGCCAGAGAGAGAGGAGGGGAGAGGGAAAAAGCCTCTCTCAGTGGGGTGTGGTTACACTGCATACACTGCAGTCCCTTCTCTATACCTCTATCTTCTTGGTATTTTAGGCACACATGCATACGCACTAGATGTTTTTAAAGCCACTGGGGTCAGGATTCAAACTTGCTGGCTATGTGGGATCTGACTCCCTTAACCATGAGGCCACCAGGCCAGTCCAGAAACATTTTTCTTAAACATCTTATTTTGATATAATTATAGATTCACGTGCATTTACAAAAATAATATAGAGAGGTCTTGGTAATTTTTATGCAGTTTTACCCTAATGAGAACATCTTGTGAGACTGCGGCACAGTATTATAGCCATGTTATTGATAGTTAGACATAGAACACTTTCTTAGATTTCAAGGATTCCTCGTGTTTGCTATTTTATAGCCATACCATTCCTCATCACTACTCCTCTTTTCATCCTTGGCAAATCTTTGTCAGATAGGTAGTTTGCAAATACTTTCTTTTGTTCTGTAGTTTTAGTTTTCTTAACAGGGTCATTCATGAAGTCAAAGTATTTAATTTTGCTTATGTTTAATTTATTAGTTTTTCCTTTAATGAAGCTTCTGGTGTCAAGTCTAAGAACTCTTCATAGATCTCAGAGATTTTCTTAAATAAAAGTTGTATAGTTTGATATATTTAAGTTCATAGTGCATTTCGTGGTCAGTTTTATGTGAAGTGTGTGAGATTTAGGTTAAAGTTCTCTTTATTTTTTTCTTACATATGTTCTTTCCATTATTTCACTATTCATTGGAAAGACATCCTTTTCTCCATTGAATTGCTTTTGCACCTTTCTCAAGAATTTGTGAGTCTATTTCTAGGTTCCCTCTTCTGTTCCATTGATCTATATGTGTACTCTGTCAGCTCTCTAGTCTTAAACTGAGCTCTGTTAGGTCTGAAATTGACCAAACTCATTCCTCCTGCTTTATTTTCAACGTTTTCAGATATTCAAGTTCGTTTGCCATTCCATATAAATCTTAAAATCTTACTAGCAGTTTCATGGACATTACATTAAACTGTACAATAATTTGAAGAGATTGACATTGACATACTGTCGACTCTTCCAATTCATTTATTTAAATCTTAGCTTTCTTTCATCAGTGCTGTGCAGTTTTTAACATGTAAGCCCTATGTTTATTTTATTAGGTTTATATCTTAGCATGTCTTTTTTTGGGAAATCATAAAGTGGTGTTGTATATTTAATTTCAGTGTCCATGAGCTCATTGCTATTATCTAGAAGTAGAGTTTTGTTGTTGTTGTTGTTGTTCATCTTGTTTTTGATTTGCTGGTGAGTGTATGTGACTGGGGAGAGCGGGTAAATGAGAAAGCACCTCCTATGGAGCATGGTCATGCCTCAATCTCTCCTCTTCCATTTCTCCCTCTTACTAGGATTTTGAGTATGTATGCACAAATGCTGGATGTTTCTCAAGCCACCGGTCCAGGATTCAAACCATGTGGCCATATGGGATACAGCTGCCTTCTCCACTGTGCCACTGAGTGGCCCAAAAGCTCTACTCTTATTTCTGTTTTTCTGAGTGTTCTTCCCACTTTCTTGGGAATAGGGACGGAGGAAAAGAGAGAAAAAAGCATAGATACTATTTTTTTTTAAGAATTATTTTGTTTCAATTTATTATTATTTTTAAAAATTTGCTATGGAGCACATGTACTCAGCAAAAGAGCCAGAGAGAGAGAGAAGAGTAAGAAAGCAAGCCTCCAGGTCTGGGCCTTGAACTATGAGCAGCCATGTGGGAGTCCAGCACCTTAGCCACTACACCACCTGCTGGCCCAGTAAGTTTTTTTTTTTTAAGATGTTTTTGCTATAGGGTGCGTGCACTCACCAGAAAGATAGAGAAAGACAGAGAGACAGAAAATGAGAAATCACTGCCCAGGGTGAATGGCCACGCCGCAATCCCTTTCCTCCATTCTCCTCTCGGGATCCTGGGCACGCACGCACACGTGCCTGGCATGAGTTTAAGCCACCTGGCCCAGGACTCAAACTGCAGTTGACTACATGGGAGACCAGTGACATAGCCACTACGTCAACTGCTTGTCCCTTGATAGGTTTTTTTTTTTTTTTTTTTTTTGAGAGGTTTTCGCTACAGGGCGCATGTGCTCGCCAGACAGAGAGACAGAAAGTGAGAAATCACCCCCCCCAGGGGGAATGGTCACGCCACAGTCCCTTCTCCTCCATTCTCCTCTTGGGATCTTGGGCACGCACGCACACGCGCCTGGCGTAAGTTTTAAGCCACCGGGTCCGGGACGCAAACTGCAGTCGACTACATGGGAGTCCAGCGACATAGCCATTACGCTAACTGCTGGTTCCCGATAGCTATTTTTGACAGTCCCACGGTGTTGAGATCCTCTTGCTCCAGCCTCCTAATTAGCTACAATTATAGGCACATGCAGTCCTGCCCAGTATGTTCAGGTTAGCCTAGAAACAAACTGGGCCTCCCATGTGGCCTCCAGTCTCCCAAGTGTTGCTGCTACCTGTGTGGCACCACAGCTGGGCCTTGTCACAAATGGGTGGTATCTTTTTTCAAGTGCTTTGTCCGTATCGATTGATAATGATTTTGTGATTTTCCTTATTTAGTGTGTTAATAGGGTGGTTTTAAATGAGTATGATTTTTTAGTTTTGAGCCACCCTTGCATAAACCCCACTTTGTCTTAGTGTGTAATTCTCCTATATTGCTGAATTATATTTTCTAATATTTGGTTGAGAGTTTTTGTGTCTAAATTTATGAAGAATACCTGCCCATAATTTTCTGTATAATTTTTCATTCGGCATCAGTGAAGTACTAACTTCATAAGATGAATTAAGTGTATTATCCTCTTCTGCTCTTTTTGGGAAGAGATTGTGTAGGATTAGTATTCTTACTACACATTGGGTAGAATTCACATGTGAAATAGTCTGGGCCTGGAGATTATGTTTTTGGAGAAGGTTGACATCACAAACTTTGTTACTCTCATAACTTAAAGAGCTTTATAGATTATCTATTACATATTGTGTTAGCTAGTGTCTTTTTGAGAAATTGGGTTTTTTTTTCGTCTTAAGTTGCCAGTGTTTGTAGTATCCCTTTCTTATCCTTTTGATGTCTGTAGTCTCTGTGGTGATACTTTATTCTTTTTTGGAGAGGTTTTTGCTATAGGGCGTGTGCGCTTGCCAGAGAGACAGAGAGACAGAGAAACAGAAAATGAGAAATCACCCCCCACGGGGGATGAACACACCACAATCCTTTCTCCTCCATTCTCCTCCTGGGGTCTTGGGCACGCACGCACATGCTCCCAGCATGAGTTTAAGCCACCAGGTCTGGGACTCGAGCTGCAATTGGCTATATGAGAGTCCAGCGACATAGCCATTACATCAACTGCTGGTCCCCCTCCTTTTATTCTTAAGATGATAATTTGTATCCTCTCTATTTTTTAAAAGGATTGTTTTATTTAATTTTGTTTATTTATTTATTTTTAATATCAGTTTTGACCGGAGAGGGACAGAGTGTGAAAGAGAGAGGCAAAGTAAGAAAGCCAGCCACCAGGTCCAGAACTTGAACTGTAGTCGGCCATGTGGGAGTCCAGCACCCCTACCACCACACCACCTGGCAATTCCTGTATCTTCTTTTTTTTTCCTTCGGTAGTCTTGCCAGAAGCTAGTCAGTTTTTTTTTCCTTCGGTAGTCTTGCCAGAGGCTAGTCAGGTTATTATTATTATTATTCTTAAGAATCACCTTTTTTAATGACACTTTGTTATAATTTTTGTTCTAAACCTTGTTTCTTTTATTCTTCCTTCTGTTTTAGGTTTATTTTTGTCCTTTTTTAAAGGATCTTCAGATGTAAATTGAGTTAATTGATTGATCTTTTTTCTCTTTTCTGTTGTATGTATTTCTTTTTTTCTTTTTTCAGAGAGGTTTTTGCTGTAGGATGCATGTACTCGCCAGAAAGACAGAGAGACAGAAAGCGAGAAATCACCCCCTGGAGGGATCGCCACACTGCAGTCCCTTTTCTCCATTCTCTGGGATCTTGAGCACACACCCACACTTGCCCGGCATGATTTATTTTTATTTATTTATTTTTTTGGAGAGGTTTTCGCTATAGGGCGCGTGCGCTCACCAGACAGACAGAGAGAGACAGAGAGACAGGAAGTGAGAAATCACCCCCCAGGGGGGATGGTCATGCCGCAATCCCTTCTCCTCCATTCTCCTCTCGGGATCTTAGGCACGCACGCACACTCGCCTGGCGTGAATTTTAAGCCACCAGGTTCAGGACTTGAACTGCAGTCGACTACGTGGGAGTCCAGCGACATAGCCATTACGCTAACTGCTGGTGTTCCCCCCCCCCCCCGATTTCTTTTACCCCCCCGTATGATTTTCAAGCCACTGGGCCTGAGACCCTTAATGGCAGTTGGCCATGTGGTAGTCCAGCAACGTAAACACTATGCTATCTGCTGCCCCTTAGTATTTATTTTTATTTTGCTTGAGATTTATGGGATTATGTAAAAGTGTGTTGTTCAGTTTCCATATGTTTGGAAATTTTCCTGTTGCTGTTAATTTCTTTCATGAGAGTAAGAGAGAGCGAAAAAGGGAAGGAAAGGGAAGTAGGCAGTACCCTCAACAGAGTCTCTTGCTGTGATCCCTCCAAGCCTTGCCAGCCAGCTAGGATCAGGGCTGTGTGTGCCTAGTGTGTACAGGTTGATCAGGGGACCAGACCTTGTAATCTCATATGGATCCAGCATCACTTGACTACTGCGTTTTTGCTTTGCCTTGTAGTGGACCACGATTTAAATTATTTTAAATTTAATGATGTTCATTTTACTGCCCAGGATTGTTTATGTCCATGGGCACTTCAAAAGAACATGCATTCTGCTTTGGATGGAGTGTTCTGTAAATGCCAGTGGGATCCTGTTTAATTTTTCTATATCCCTGTTTTGGGGTTTTTTTGGTCCTGTTACTGAAAGAGAGTCTCCAGCTATAATTGTATTTGTCCATTTCTCCTTCAATTCAGCTTTTGCTTCACATATTTTGAAACTCTGTAGAAGTGTCTATGATTGCTACGTCCTCGTGGTAGATTGCTCCTTTTATCATTATTTAATGTTATTCTCTGGTTCTAGTAATTCTTTCCTTCTGATAACTAGTATACCCACTTCTGTCTTCTGATTAAATTTTGCGTTATGTATCTTGTTCCATCATGCTTCCAACCTGCCTATATCATTATGTTTATGGTGAGTTTCTTATGGATAGCATATAGTTGGGTAATGTTTTTTAATCCACTCTACCAGTTTCTCCTTTTAATCAATTTATTCAGATCATTTACATTTAATGTAATTATTGATATGCTAGGGCTTAAGTCTACCAATTTTTTTTTGTGTATACTCTATTTTTGTTTTTTGTATCTTCATGTGGGTTACTTGAAAGTTTTAGAGTTTCATTTTAATTTATCTGGTGCTTTTTAGTGTTTTTAGTTTTAACTATCTTATTTGGGTAGTTTTTTAAGTGGTTGCTCAAGATATCATACTAAATATATTAGTCTGTTGGTGTTGTCATTTTACCATTTTAAGTGAAGTGTAGAATCCTCCCTTGTTTATAATTGTATTAGATACTTCCTTTATATACATTTAGAACCAAATCAGGCAATAAGTTTCATTCAACTGTCAAACATAACTTAGAAAATTCAAGAGGGAAAAGAAATGCTATTCACACATATTTTTAAGCTACCTTTCTTTTTTTCCCTTCCTGATGTTCCAAGGTTCTTTCCCCCACCCCCCTGCTACTTAGAGAACTACTTTTAGGCATTTTTAAGGTGGGCCTCCTGGCGGCAAATTCTCTATGACAAAGATTTCTTTCAGTTTACCCTGGTTAGGATTTCTCAGCTCTTCAATCTCTGGGTTTTGTCTCCTGCCATATTTGGTGAATTTTCAGCCATTATTTCATTGAGTAGTTTTCAGATTTGCTGAATTTGTCCTTTTCTTCTTGCTCCTTGATTATACAAATGTTAGACCTTTTTTTATAGGCTCAAACATCCCTAGAATTCTGTTCATTTTATTTCGGTCTGTTTTATATTTGTCATTTGGATAAGGTAATTTAGACTATTCAGTCTTCTATTTCACGGATTGTTTTCTGTTTCCCTCCATTCTGCTCTTGAGCTTATTCACTGATCTTTATTATTTCAGTTACTATATTTTTCAATTCTAAAAACATTCATTTGGTGGTTCTTTATTTCTTTGTAGAGACTTTCTATTTTCATTTGTTTTAAGTTACTGTATCATTTTTTTTTTTTTAATTTGTTAGAGGATGCGTGCACTTGCCAGAAAGAGAGGGAAGGTGAAAAAGCACCCCCCGTGAGGGATGATCACAGTGCAATCCCCTCTTTTCCATTTCTCCTTTTGGGATTTTGGGCACACATGCACATGTGCTTGACGTGTTTTTCAAGTTGCTAGGTTCAGGACTTGAACTGCACAGTTGGCTACATGGAATCCAGCTGGCTGACCACTATGCCTCTGGCTGGCCAAGTTTATAATTTCTCGTTGAAACATTTCTACCATGACTACTTTAAATTTTTTTCTCAGCCAATTTACTCTCTCTCATCTCAATGTTGGCATCTATTGATGTCATTTCTTGAGTTCAGAGATTCCCAGCAGATCTCTTTTCTTCATCTTTTCAAGTCTTTTTACCTTTGATTTATTTATGATGTCTAGGTTTTTTATTTTCTAATTTTTTTCCTCCTTTATACATGATAGAGGCTCATATACACATACACAGTGAAGGAGAGAAGAGCACCCTTCACAGGGTCTGGTTGTTTAATAGCGCCTTTCTTCCAATCCTCCAACCCATCATTCATGGACACTCACGCATGTGTCCAGCGTTTTTTTAGGCTGACTGGGTTGGAATTTGAACCACTGTTGCCCCTATGGGATCTGTCATTGCTTGAGTAGAGTATTACCACTGTGCAGCAGAGGAGGCCCCAGGGTGTTTATTTTTACTTACTGAGAAGAATAGGAGAAATACCATCTATTCAGTCTTCCAAGAAGGAAAATCAGTCTCACTGTTGAATTTCCATGTTTTTTTTTTTTTTTAATGAGATCTATATTTGGTGTATTTGTAATTCTAACTCACTGTTGACTTTTGACAAGTATACTTGACAAGAAAGCACTATGTCAAATCAAAGATGCATTATGGAATTTGTGTCATTCCCATCTAGAAACTTTGATGATTATAAACGAATCATATGTGCCCATAAAACAAGCCATCAGTGTGGTAACGTTGACCTGGAACAAACCAAGGGTTTGTTTCTGTCCTTGTGGGAATACAAAAGAAAGAAAATAGACTCTGTCCTCTATGTTCTCTCCATCTAATTGATTAATAAAGAACATGTGCAAAATATTGGGTCATCAGAAAAGTCATGACGTATTTTTCTGTTTTTCTGTGCAAAGATGTGTCATGACTTTTCATATGACCCACTAATTGGAGGGAAAATGTCAAATTTCACTACAGTCTAGAAGGAGTGAAGGACAAATAAATCATCAGTAAATATGATCAGGTTATAAACTAAATCTACTTCTTTGTCCTTTTAGGGATAGTTATTGACAGATTTTTCAGATTTTATTTTTTTAAAGAATTATTTTATTTAACTTTATTTATTTAAAAAAGTTGACCATATAGGGACAGAATGAGAGAGAGAGAGAGAGAAAGCTGCCAAATCCAGAACTCCAACCACAGACGGCCATGTGGGAGTCCAGTGCCCTTAATCATCACACCACCTGCTGGCCCCAGATTTTTCAGTTTTAATTCAGTCATTTTATTTGAAGCCTATGTGTCAGGTCTCTGCTTAGAACTGAGACAAAATAGCAGTGTGACAAATCAGAGGTGCATTATGGAATTTATGGTGCTAGGTGGTGCAGCAGTAACATGCTGCCCAAGTGATGCTGGATCTATGAGCACGATCACAGGTTCAGTTCTACATGCTAGGCACATGCCCTGACTGACTGGAAAGAGGGGAGGTGGTGAGGGGGAAGGGAGGGTGTTTGCAATGCGACACCTTGTTGATGGTACTCGTGTGTGTGTGTGTGTGTGTGTGTGTGTGTGTGTTTTTCTGTGTCTGTCTGTCTCACTTGCATGAAAGAAGTAAACTTAAAATATTTTTTAAAAGACTAGGATATAAATACTAGTAAAGTATACATCTTGCCTTTTAAGGGACCTTTCAGCTTTAGTTGCTGATAAAGTGGAAAGCAAATATAAGAAGGCAAATCATTAAGTTGTGTTAGTGCAGTGTGGTTACATGTCGTGTTATATAGAAGACAAATTCTATAGGAATAGAGTCCTAATAAGGGCCAAGGAAAGCCACAGAATAATGCCATTCCATGTTTGGAAAATAAAGATATACTTTTTAAAAGTAATGGAGGAGGACATCTTATGCATAGAAACCTACGCAAGGGAGCATGGCAAAGAATGGGTGTAGGGTTAGCGTGAGGTCCCAGTGTGGTGGTAGAGTATGTAACTTTACATGTTTGTCAGTAACATAGATGATATTTTAATAATCACATGATACTCTTCTGTGATCCAAATCAGTGAATTTTTATTTACTGTCTTCAGAAAAAGACACTACAACATCATTTTGTTTGGGTGCTAATTTTACTTTCATTTGAAGGTAGTTTTTCCATATATAGCTTTGTGCTCACTAGAAGAGGAGATATAATGATGCTTTGTATGGCAGTGTATGTGAATATGATTCTCCAAACTACTCTATGGAGTTGCCCACAATTAAATAAAAATGCTATTTTGAATTTATGTTGATCCATCTATATTTATATTTGGAATCTGTGCTTAGAACATTTTGAAAAAATATTTTGTCTGTGTGGTCCACAAAATAATTTATTTTATTTTTCTTTAATTGCAGATGGAGTCTGGTGGTACAGTTTTGAGTACCAATTGGTCTGATGTAGGTAAAAGGAAAGTTGAAATCAATCCTCCTGATGACATGGAATGGAAAAAATATTGAATAAATTAATTTGCTATCACTTTTGCGTATATTCACCTAATGCCCGTTGTGTATTGCTATTACATTCTTGAATTTTGAACACTGACTATCTTTTGAAAGATTATACCTCTTTGTGCTTTAGAAATTATTTTCCTTCAGATGTTCTAAGTATCTAATGAATGAAGATCACATTTTATCACTTCTGTCCTTAAGAATTTCAGTCATGCTGAAACTGACATATCATTTGCTTCTAGATAGATTAGTTCTATCTAGTTGTGGGAGTGGGAGAATCTTTAATGGCATATCTCTTGTTATTGCCTTACTTTTGATGCAGTATTCTGTTAATAATTTATTAGCCCTGGCAACTTTGAGTGAGCATAGATTTTTCAACCTCAGTGTTAAATTGTGTTTGCTCTTAAAAACTGCTTTTGAATCGAGTTGTAAATACAGTTTTTCTATGAAGAAGTTTGGTTTTATTTACCTTTTTCTTAAGTTTTTAATGAGAATTTTGAGAAATTATTTATCACAGGGAATTCCCATTTACATCTTTTTATGGGAAGTATTTGTAATTTGTAATTGCACTGAAGTTTTGGTCTTTACTTTCCAATTTGGGGTATAAAACATAAATACTTGAGTTTAGCATATTACAGTCTTACCTGTACTAAGAAAGATCTGTGAAGCTGGGTCAAAGAAGGATCTAGGAAAGTCCCACCTCTCCTCCTCCTTTTTTTTTTTTTTTTTTTTAAGAATTATTTAATTTTTTTAGTTGTTATTCTTCAATTTGATCAGAGAGAGAGACATAAAGGGGAAGAATGCAAGCCACCAGGTCCAGGACTGGAACTGTAGTCGGCCATATGGGAGTTCAGCACCTTAACCACCACACCTCCTACTGCCCCCCCCACTCCCTTTCTTAATGCTTATGCCACAACAAAATGTCTGAAATTACAGCACTGGTGAGTTATTTTTTTGATTTGTTTGGTTGTTTTTGGTATGTTCTTTTCTTCTGTATTAGAAAATCTGTCTGGTGTGGTAGTTAGGGCACTGGACTCTCACGTGACCCACTATGGTTCGAGTCCTGGATCTGGTGGCTTGCTTTCTCACTCCCCCCCCTCCCCTGGTCAAACTAAAATAAATGAATGAATAAATAAATAAATAATTTTTAAAAAGAAAATCTGTTCACAAATTCCCATGCTAGTTTGGTTTCAGTTTTTTATGGTAGCTGCTCAAGAGTAAATTCATGTATATATGTTTAATATTTCCTCTGTGTGTAGACTATATAAATACCTTGGAAATATAAAAACTAAAAGATTACATCATGAACTTCAAAGAGCTTATAGCGTAGCAGGGAGAGAAAATGAACATTGATAAAGGAATTATGAAATAATTAAATGCTGAATTCACACATACAGTTTTGTTTTTGTTTTAAGGTTTTTTCCATAGGGTGCATGTACTCGTCAGAGAGAGATAAGAGAGGAAAAGTGAGAAACTATCCCGAGTGGATTGCCATGCCCCAAACTCTTCTCCTGGAGTCTGCTCTCAGGATTTTTGGATATGCACGCACACACGTGCCCAGTGTGAATTTCAAGCTGCCAGGTCTGGGACTTGAACTATGGTCAACCCTGTGGGAGTCCAGTGCCTTCACCTCTATACCACTTGCTGGCTCTCAGAAATAGTCTTAAGACAGAAAAATTATTCTGTGATTAAAATCTTTATAGTCTAAGCTATTATAAAGTATAGGTCATAGATGACCTGTAGATCTTTTTTTTTTTAATCATAATTTTTAAAACTGTAATGCTGTAGAGGTGCTCTCTGCTCTGTTAGGTGTCACTACCTTTTTTGTGAGGCTACTGCTTTATAGCCTCAGCTACAGAGGGGGTGGAGGGAATGGGAGGCAAATCAGCCATCATTTCAGCTTCTGAAGGAGTAGGAATTCAATTCTTCCCTCTAGTTTTTTGATTCAAGTTTAGGAGAGTTCCTAAACAAAATGGGATTAGGGCTACCACACATTGCCCAGACCTGTAACAGCTTGTTTAAGCATGCTAGAGTTTTCACCTGTCCTTCTGCCTACTTAGAGCTGCAAGCTATGTTTTCTGTTCTTGAACACTGAAGAAAAAGGTAAATTAAGTTCTTAAATGGTTGGGTTTCTCAGGTTTGCTCCTTATGGGAAATAAAATAGTGACTTTTATATTTTGATATTTTACATATTCTCAGTATTAGTCCTAATAATGAGGAAGACTGTTGCTACAAGACATAAATCAAAGACTTATGGTAACCGCATAGAGACAGGAGTCCTTACCTGTAGCAAGTCTGTCACTCGCTAACTTTATAATCTTTAATAGTTTTGACCTTTCTATGACTTAGTTTCTTTATCTAAAAATAACCAGTAGTGTGTTAAAATTATAGTTAAAAGTCATGATTCTAAATAAACATTTTTGTCATTTAGCTTTTTTTTTTTTTTGGTTTGAAGTCTCACTATTATAATAGAAGCAGTTTCTAAAAAAAAAAAATTCTAGTACTACTTTTGCTTATATTTAAAAGATACAGGATCTGGAGTAAGCTTACATGTTAGGTTAGATTTGCCAATATTGTAGGATTAAGGGTTTGCTTGTTTAGAGTTCCTGATGTACATGACTGGAAAGCATTATAAGGTGTGCCTGATCCAATATACTAGATTTATAGATCAAGGGAATTTTGAAAAGTAAACCGCTACTCAAAAGTACCATTCTGAATTATGGCTTCTTTCACCTCTTCAGATCTTGGAAACTTGTGCACTTCCAAGAAGTTGAAAATCTTCATTCTGATAATTTCTTGTTTCTGTCTTTATTCTTTTTTTTTTTTTATTTTATTATCATCATAATCTTCTTTCTATTACACTAGATTACATATAACTTTACATTGACTTCCATTGCTTTTTCAAAAGGGAATGCCATGCATGTCAGTCAATACAGAGATATCAATCTCCCCGCTTTATCATTCAATATCTTTTCCATGCTTTTCCCAATAATTATTATTATAATTTTTTAAACAGTCAATCACTATTTCTCATTTTGCTTATTAAAGAGACTTCACCCATCATGAAATATTTCCCAGACCGGTTCAGTTGAGAATACTATACATGTCATCATCAACAGGTAATAAACCATATCTATTTCTCATTAACATCCTGCCTCTCTATTGTTCACTGCTGTCTTTATCCTCTTCTCCCTCCTTTTTTTTTTTTTATACTTTGTTTTTTATTATAAATTTTATTTTCTCATCACAACACACATATGAATTTTCCATCCAAAATACACTGTGCATTGGCTCAATCAAGCACATCAACATATATGTTCTCAGCAAATGATTTCCCAATTTTTGTGTCCTGCATACCTTGCCTTTTGTTTTGCCATCCTAGGTTCCCCATCCCCACCCTCTGCCATGTCCCATCTTCCTCCTCCATTGTCCCTGACATTCATGATTGCCCTCAATGGCTTCCGCCCCCCCC